ATTTCGACTTTATTCTCGTAATATTTATAATTTATTCTCGGAATATTTCGACTTTATTCTCGTAATATTTATAATTTATTCTCGGAATATTTCGACTTTATTCTCGTAATATTTATAATTTATTCTCGAAACATTTCGACTTTATTCTCGTAATATTTATAATTTATTCTCGGAATATTTCGACTTTATTCTCGTAATTTCGACTTTATTCTCGAAATATTACGACTTTAATCTCGTAATCTTAGATTTTTTATTTTTTTTAACGTGGCACTAAAACGCCGTGGCTATAACTGTAGCCAAACATTAAACATTTGAAAAGAATAAATAAATTGCGCTTTAGGTTTAAAAGTGCCTTCATTTCGCGTTCTTACGGTTTTCACCTTTTAAAGCGAAATGAAAATTATTGTGGAAAAACATACAAACGTTTCAAACTCGACTTTAAGAACAATATATCAACATCGGAGCATTTCACTCATCTTTGCATCTCCGAGCGTGGTAGTCAGTCGCCAGCAGAGTTAGTACCGAGCTGTTGGAAACGAGATGCTTTTGATTTTATTTTGTCCCAGGCCTTATTCGCAGAGATCTGAAGCTGTAGGTTTTTTTTTTTTTTTTCCATTTTGAAATCTCTAAAAGTAGCGAATCGGCCTTTCTGAAGTGCTCCGTATTGAGTTTGTAGTTTTCTAACAATGCCTTTCCATGGCCAAGTTCTGATTAGTAATAAACGGCCATTCTTAATTCCGTATTCCATGTTCCTTTCCAAAAGAGCCATTTACAGACCACTCCATGGTTAATTTGGGTCTGTTTGCGCTGTTTCTCGTCGTTGCATAGAGTAGTTGCATGTAACAATGCTGTCACATCACACAGGGTTTGATGTCCTGATAGGAGACCTGCTGATGGTGGTAGTACGAGCTACTCCCTGGTGAATGCATTGATGAAGAGGTCATGGCGTTAAAAGAGAAGACAAACTCTTTCCTGTCACACGTGCTTGGCGATTGGGAATGATAGCGCGGTATACCTGCGGGGACAGAAAAGTAAACACTGCATTGTTACAAAACTACATAGAATTCACCCTTAGTTTAACAGGGTTTAGTTTAGTTGATCATTTAAGTTCTTTATGAATAAATGTAATGTTCTGCTTGGCTGTAAGTTTGGGTTGGCCTGCTAAACGTTGCCTAATGGTATTTTATTGTTTATTATTATTATTATTATTATTATTAGTAGTAGTAGTAGTAGTAGTAGCAGTAGTAGTATAGTAATGATAAAGAAATTGTTTCGGAGATGAACATTCGCCTGTGACATTAAGTCGTGCATTCATCGGGAAAATATGTTCTATGAAGATATTTTGTAAATTTCCTACCGTAAATATATCAATATATATATATATATATATATATATCAATA